GATACGGCCTCCTAAGGACGTCGGAGCATTCAAAAATTGTATCAAAAAGCAAGACGTTTTAGCTCCTGGGGTCTATAGCATGGTACACCATCCGTCAATCCATCGTCTGCCTGTCGGCCACCAAACAAATAAAGAAATAAAAAAACAGATGGGTGGGAGGAGGTGTAGTACTAGTAGAGAGGAGCGGTTGTTCCTGTCCGTAGAGAAGTCTGGAAAGGAGAGCAGGAGAGAGAACAAGCAGGAACGGAGGGGCACGGAGGTCTTCTGCCATCGTCATTGATATCGGTGCCCGGTCCTAAAACGTCTATTATCGTGGGACAGAGGGCCTGTTTTGCTGATCGGTGTTGTGCTGCTGTCTAGGGTTGGTTGGTGTCCGCCGCGTGATTTTGGCCACTGAGAGGAAAATATTGTCGGACCAACAGGTGCATGGGAACGTTTGCTGCCTGTCAGTGACTATAAGCGCCACAGATCGAGAGAGAGTACACTCGTTAAGCTTTGCTTATAAACCGTACTTTTTCACCAACAAACAATATTTTTCTCTCACGACAAATCACCAACAAAGATTTTCAGTCATGATGAACTGTGTCGCACCCAAATGATATGGGCAATGGTCGTTTTGTTTGTCTCATCGATTGATCATCGCATGGAGAATTCCCGGTGGCATTTGACATTGAGCTTGGGAAAATGAGTGCAGTCGCGCATGCCCAACCTTTCTTGATGCTTTACACTGAAATTTTTTAGTTTCCGGGTAGTCCTATTTGACACTCGCCGTGAACGGGTCCAACTTTCATCGATGCAACTAATTTGACACTACCGTCAAATCAGTTAAATTGCTAAAAGACGGAGAAAAAAGGACATTGTTAACTAAGATACGGAAAAAACCAGCCGAGTTTGCCCATGAATTGGCTAAAAAATTTACGTAGAAATTTTGGTTTTTTTTCCTCTCAAATTTTGCTTCGCCGATTTTTTTTCTATCCAAGTGAACGCCTTTCTATGAAATCTGGGCCGGAGCTATCTTTTCTCTTTTATTTTTCTCATTTTTTCTATGCAGATAGACGGGAGCAGTTGATCTGCTGCCGTGATAGACGGATAGGGATGAAAAGGACACGTCAGTGAGGGTCAAACGGAAAAGAAACCACGAAAGAAAAAATTCGTGGTCAAAAAAGGAACGACTTATTTTTCCAGTGTCAAATAAGGAATTCTCTCATCTACATGTGAGTTGCAGATGGATATATATCTGAAGCACCAGCTAGGCTTCTTCCACCTGCATGTCAGTTACAGACCGATCGATCTGACGCTGTAATTAGTCTCAACTCCCAGAGCAGAATTCAGTGCTTGTGACATCTGCAATGCAGGCCCTGAAGACACAGCACACATCATTTTCGGCTGCACCAATGCACGACAGTTTTGGAATGCAGTCGGCATTACAACTAACGAAGATTGGCCTATCGCAAGGTTAAAAGAGATCCAATGCCCAGACCACATCCCACAGAAACACTTTGGCTCCTTCGTGCTACTCTGCTCATGACATATTTGGAAATGGCGCAACACCATTGCTATCAGAAAGGAACAAATGACTCTCATGGGTGCCCTTTCAGCATGCAAATTGGAAGCATATATTTGCGGAGCGAGGCTAAAACCTGACGATAGACACATCGCAACAACATGGTGCCCGATCCTTTCAAGCGCAATGTAACAACCTAAGCTTACTAGCAAAAATGCCCGTATGTTGCAACGGAACTCAATACACATTTAACTGAAACTTTGTAATAAATTAATATTAATATTAGGTACAGAGTATAGATATAGTATGGATTAGGTTGCTTGGTTCATCCACGGATTCAATGAGTTCCGGACACAAAAACCGGATGACGTCATCGTCTTCCTCACGGTCCAGAGGTGCGCCCGGCGAGGATCGTCTTCCACGAGCAACACGTTCGCGTTGGGGACTCGCATGGTCCCAAGTGCCCTCCGGCCTTCACGTGGATCATCGCCCTGCTCCTAGGTCTGAACCCGTGTCCGCCGCCAGCCGCTGTGACGTCGGCAATCGCCTCGTTGATGCTTTTGTGCATCCCGCTGCTGTCTAGCTAGCCCACCACGGTGTCCGCCGCGTGATGTTGGCCACTGGGGAGGCTGCAGGAGCCTCCTGTCGTTCTCGGACCAACAGGATGCATGGGAACGTGTTGCTGCCTGTCAGTGACGGCGAGGGCGCGGGCGCCACAGACGGCGAGACGCCGCTCCAGCCCTTGATCTTGCTGACGTGCAGCACCAGCATGGTGCTAATGAACTGCGTTGCACACCGCGGTCCCTTGATCTGACGTGCATCGCTAACATGGTACTGATGAACTGTGTCGCACCCCGCGGATAGAGATCGGTAGGCGGCGAGGCCATCGCATGCGTCCTCTGGTTGATCATCGCGGCGTCGAGCCATGTCGCGGACCCGGTGGCATGGGACCCGGACGCCGTGATCGAGCGCGTTGTTGAGCTGGCCGAGAGGGTGATGTTGTGCTGCTCGGTGCAGTCGCGCATGCCCAACGGCGGCTGCGCCGATGCAGACACCGAGAGGTTGCGCGACAGCGCGCGCCCCGTCGTGGTCCGGGTAGTCCTCGCGATTCACTAACTTACGGACGCCGTGAACGGGTCCTCAGCCGACCGCGCCTCCGCCGATGCAACTAAAAATAACAAGAATCGGGCAGCACGAACGGAGGCAGAGACAGGCGTTAAATTGAAGAAAAAAGACGGAGAGAAAAAAGGACACGTGGACAGGGTAAGATACGGAAAAGAAACCAGCCGAGTTCGTGCATGAATTGGCTAGACAAAATTTACGTAGAAATTTTGGTTCTTTAATACTCCTACTAATATATTTGGTATAGATATAGATCTTTTTTGATTGTCCAAGTGAGTTAGGGTTTTTCTATGATTTATGGGCCGGAGCTATCTTTTCTCCTTTTTATTTTCTCATTTTTTCAGATGCAGCATAGGACGGGACTCTGTCCCTTGATCTGCTGCCGTGATTGAGAGGAATACGGACAAGAGAAGGAGGGACATACGTACGGAGAAGAAAAAAATGAAAATGAAAAAGAAAAATAAAACCAGAAACGGACATGGCAACCAAAACAGAAGTGACGGGGCCAATCAAAACTAGAAACGGGCACGGAAACGGAACTGACGCCCAAGTATAGTACTCTGTAGATGAGTATGGTGGTTAGAAGAGGGCCGGATATTGAAGTGGCGAACTAAGTTGGATAAAAAAAAAACTCTCTAATTTCTCTTTTGTCCTTTTCTATTTGATTTGGATTTCTATTGAGCTTATTCAGGATTGGAGGGACTTATTTTATTTGTATTAAGATTCCTATTCACCCGAAATCAGAGAGATCTATGACCGGACCAAAAAAATATGTGGAGAAATTTTGCCTCTTTATTGATTATATATAGGTATAAATTTAGTTACTTTCAGTTTCGTCAGGTAGCACGATGTGTGCGCCAAGGAATGTCTGAAACCCTGTAATGTTTCAAACTATGGCTTTCAGAGCTAACCAATGCAATGAAACTCAAGTGGGGAACCTCTCCCCTCCCGTCGACTTATTAAAAAAATTAGGTCTCAACAATATAATCTCACTCAATGCATCTACTGGAGGTGTCTTGAATTTACCGTAAGATCTAGCTCCAATGCAAGCTATACGTTTAATTTACGGTCTGGGCATGGGCATGGGCATGCATGCATGCGAATGCAGCTAACTGCGAGTTTCTGAAACTCGGTAGGCTAATAAGAGCAACTCCAACAAAGTTGATAAAAATAGAGAAATAAATTTATGATTTAGCCGACCTCTAAAATAAAAACATCAGCAAAAAACAGAAAACTCCAATAGCCTTTCTAATAGGACGAGGCGAATGGCTAGGGGCACATGCAAGCTATATCTAGCATGCGATAATTTCAGGATACATGACTTGCTATTTTAGAAAATAAAATACAATAGCTGTTGGTCTCTCTTTTTTTCTCCAAAATAGTCAAATATAGATTACACAATATAGATAGCTCTTCTATTAGAGTTGCTCTACGGCGTTGCTGACAAAGTAACCTATAGATCCTGAACCTGCATGCGTGCGCACAGCACATAACATGCATGCCAACGAATCTACGTTCTCGCTTCATAACTCGCAAGGTTGCCAACTCGGGGTGGCGCAGCATGTGCCGCCATGTGCGCCTTGCCTGATTGCCTCTTCTTCTCTCATGCTCATGCTCATGGGGAGCCCGGTGCGGACCCCACTCCCTAGCCGGCCTCTCTCACGCTCCATCTCTTTTCAATGCATGATCTCTCTCAAATATGCATGGGGGATACCAGCTAGCTCTAGCTGTTGATATTCACAACTATTTAAGTACGTATTTTTCTTGCATTGTACATTTGTACTTGTGATTGTACTTTGAGATGATCATGTGACATATGAGGTACATATATATATACACATACATACGGAGCATGCAATAGAAAATCCATGGAATAACACAACACAACACTATACCTTGTACTACTTTGCTGCCCCTCAACCACATAATTAATTCTGAGCTGTCAATTGTTACACACTGTATTGTTTTCTTTCTGCTAACCAACTATACAGCTAGCTAGCTAGCACACACTGTTTTCAGCTAGTACTCCTAACTGTTAGCTTCAACCTTCAAAATGAGACCTTTCAGTCGCATGCAACTGTACAACAATGGAGCATGCGCCATGATCAGAAAAGCGAGAGAAGAGGATGCATGCTAGCTTATCTGCCAAGAGGACCACAAAATGGTGGGAATGCATGCTAGCTCACACCACATGCAGGATGCAACTCCGTTCCTCGTGGAGATCAGATGAATATATACATCGATCCACAAGCACACAATCTCTCTCTATATATATCTCAAACACACACACACACACACACACACACACACACACACACATTCTCCATTGCTTCCTACACGACCTGGCTCTTACTTTTCCAGCTCAATCAACGCAATGCGAGGCCCCAACACCAAGGCCTTCCAGCAAGGTTTCCTCAAGAACATGATCTTTAGTCTCCAAGCCTGCAGCGAATTCTGCATCTCATCCTCTGCCTCTGGGGGCGCCGCCATGATGAGTCTCCAGCAGAGGAAGTGCGCCATCAAGTCGTCGGCCGACATCGCCATGGCGACTGCCCGCGGCGGCGGAGCGCGGTGGCCGCAGGCCGTCTTGGCTTCGAGTTCGTCGCCGTCTAGGAGGCCGAGCAAGCCGTCGTCGTCGCCGGGGAAGAAGAAGAAGAACACGCACGTGTGCAAGAAGATCGTGAGGCAGTGTCTCCACACAAGACGGAGATGGAGAGCTGGCACCGGTGCCTCGTCGCTTGCAAGGACGACGTCGACGACGACGGCGATGATCGGTAGCAGGGAGATTGCAAGAAGGTTGGTGAGGAAGAGGACCAAGGTGCTGAGTAAGATGATACCTGGCGGTGAGCTGCTCGATGAGATCTCGCTGCTTCATGAGGCTGTGGACTACGTTGCTCATCTACACGCGCAAGTCGACGTCCTCAGGCGCATCTCAAATGCGGTGCAACGAGGTTGAGATCTTGTGTACCAGGTTAGTTTTCTGAGTTTTTGTTTTGTTGCTGTTGTTTTTTCAATGAACTAATAAAAAGGCGATCTATAATTAGCTTTGTATGAAAGCACGTTAATGAATCCTACTTTTAACACCCATATCTGTATCTTACAGGAATTCCTTTTATGTGTTTGTGTTTTTTGCCCCTCAGCATGCAGAGGTCTTTGAAAGGGCAGTTCAATTTGCAGGAAAAGAACAATGGTTGATAGATTGTACTAGCAGTTTTCCCTCAACATGCTGCAAGTTGATGTGACTCAGTAGAGAGAATATACAATGCCCCAGACCAGAATGTGGAAATGATGAAGAGTAGATCGAGTATCTTGTAGTCTGCAGATATATAGGAGTCAGACAGAGAGGATTGTAACTTGTAAGGAAGTAAACCTTTGTGCCGATCGATGGTAAAACTTTGGCTGAAGTATCTCTCTAGCTATATATTTTTTGACCAAAAATACTGTGGGGGGAGATCCCCACAGTGCAGGACTTTCAATTAAATTTAATAAAGTTCAGAGAGTTCCTTACAACAAGATTAACTGAAGGCATCCAGCCAAACAAAGAAAGATGACCTAAGATCATCTTTGAAACGAACAGACTGAAGATTACATTGATGCTTAAAATTTGACAACCAAATGCTAGGGCTTGGATCTCTCCTTTGGAAGACTTTGTCGTTACGTACTTTCCATAGCTCCCACGCCGCTATCAAGGTTGCTTCCGTGAAGAAGGGGATGGAATGAGCTCCTCGCGCTTGAGTGTACCTGTCTAGCAGAGGTAAAGATACGTCCCAGTCGATGTGTATAGTTGCCCAGCATTCCTTTGCGAACTCACAGCCAAAAAATAGATGATCAGTGGTCTCCTCTTCCCCACTATCACACATAACACATATAGCATCATCTTGGACATCCAGGTATCTTCTACGCAGCATGGACTTGGTGTTGAGCCGATCTACTAGAATCAACCAGGCAAAAAACTTCACACGTGGGGTGCACCAAGATTTCCAGATGACTTTGAAGACTGGGTGTGCATCTATGTACTTGAAAACTTCAGATTAAAACCGTCACGAAGTATAGGTGTTGCCCCAAATGGGAACTGATTTTGGAGTTACTCAAGTTCCTCAAGAGCCTGTTGCGAGAGGCGTAGTAGGAATAGGCTATCCAGGTCATCTGCTTGCATGACTTCCCTCACAGAGGCCCCTTCATTCCTGGCAAATGAGGCCAGTCTTGGGTAGGTTTGTGATAACACTGAGTCAGCCCACAGATCATCCCAGAAACAGATAGAGGAGCCATTACCCAATTCACACCTGGTTACACCTCTAAAAATGGTATTAAGCCTGAGTACATCCTTCCACCAGAAGGATCCTGATTCCCTAGCTGCATGGGGCACCTTGGTTGTATAATATTTGCTCCAGACCAAATCAACCCAGGGAATATTTGCTCTATTATAGAATTTATTTAAGTGCTTCATAAGCAAGGCATCATTCTGCAGTCTTAAATTCAGAACACCAAGGCCACCTTTCTCTTTTGGTTTCATGACAATTTCCTAAGCCACCAGATTGCCACCTCTCTTCCTATCATTATCATTACCTCGCCAGAGGCACTGCTTTCTTGCACGATCAATATTATCAATGACTCCCTTGGGTAATTTGATGGTGCACATTGCATAGGTAGTGATGGTGAAAGGTCCTTGTTGGTTTCGGTAATTGAGTGACAACCTAGGTGGACTAATTGTGTTTATGTGAGATACACAGGTGATTAGTCCACAGGTACATGTGTATGAGCAACATATGCCATGGAAGTGAAAATGGCTTGGAGATGTTGCAAAGCTCACACATGTGATGATGAAGGAGCTTATTGCACATGAGACATGACATTGAGTCATGTGATCAAGGTGGAGAAGATCAAGACAAGACTTGGCTTGATGGACCGGTTGCAAGCGTGAAGGGCAAGTCGAAGGCTTTGGAGTGATGGACAGCGTGGCGGTGAAGCTTGAGCAAGACTTGGCGCCGATGGACGATGTCAACGGTGAAGGGCAAGTAGAGTCAAGATCGATGAACCAATATGATCATGTGATGATATAAAGTGGATCATATCATTGTTGATCGTGTTGGTGCATGTGTTGCATCGACATTGAAGGAGATGGAATGGAATGCGCAAGGCAAAGGTATAACCTAGGGCATTTCATTTCACCGGTCATAGGTGTGTAGAGAAGTTTATGACCGGGTTTAGGATAGATGGCCGTACTATCAAGAGGGGCAAACTTGTTTGCATATCGGTCATCTAGTGCCACTCGAGTGATCTAACTTTGCATTGTCGCTAGGATCGAGTGGCGTGGCAAGTTGAGTGGCTAACATCCTTTGGGAAATGATTGTGAAAATGCTAACACACATACACATGGTGGTGTACACTTGGTGGTGTTGGCACATTTACAAAGGAGGTGGTGTTGGCAAGGGTGAGATGGGTTTGGGTCCCTCTCTCCCTCCCGCCTCACAAGCTCGGCGGGATTCGTCGCTTTCGGGAAAATAGAATGCCTATTTTCTTTTGCGCCGGATGCAAGTTCTTATGGTTAGCACATTGGAGAAAGGGTGATGAAGTTAGAAGTGAAAATGAGTTAGTCGCGAAGATGCTAGCGTCGGTCAACTGACCGGACGCTGGATCTGAATGCACCGGACGCTGGCAGGCTGCGTCCGGTCAGGCTGACGTACGATGACACAGAAGCTGGAGTGTGACCGGACGCTGGCTGCGTCCGATCAAGTGTGACCGGACGCGTCCGGTCGAGGTCGGTACCTTACTGGAAACGACCGGACGCTGGGTGTTCAGCGTCCGGTCAGTTGAAAGCTGCTGCATCCGGTCAAGTCAAGTGACCGTTGGAACCGGGACACGTGGCCGTCTGCGGGCGACCGGACGCTGAGGTCCAGCGTCCGGTCAACACGACCGGAGCGTCCGGTCGGCCCGACCGTTGCCCAGTGAAAGGGGTAACGGCTAGTTTAGCCCTTGGGGCTATAAATAGAATTGGCCCTCGGCCATGGCTGGTGCTGAGCACCTCAAGGGACTTAGTGTCCATGCTTGTGAGTGCTTGGGAGCCCTCCATCACACATATACTTGATAGTGATCATTCGATTGTGTGAGTGAGCTATTATAGTGCGATTGCATCGTGAGGTTGCATCGAGTGGCACTAGGTGGTCGTATTGCAAGCCGGTGGTGCTTGTTACTCTTGGAGGTTGCCACCTCCTAGACGGCTTGGTGGTGGTCTCCGTCGAAGCCCGCAAGAAGCTTGTGCGGCGCTCCGGAGAAGTGCTTGTGAGGGGTACTTGTGCTCGCCCCGCGGGAGTCACGAAGAGCAACTTTAGTAAAGTGTGTCATTGAGCTACCCTCACTCAAGGGGTAGGTTCTTGCGGCGCCCGACGTGCGGGCTTAGCGGGTGATGCTAATTAGCCGCCGAACCACCAAGTGAGCGGTCGACACAACGGGGACTAGCGTGTTGGCAAACACGTGAACCTCGGGAGAAAAATTATCGTGTCAACCTTGTTCTTCCCATTGGTTTGCATCCCCATTACACAAGCTTGCAATTACTTTTATATATCTTAAACTTGTGTAGTTGCTCTTGTAATTAGTTAGCTTGTGTAGCTTACTAGTTACCTTCTTGCTTGTGTAGCATAGAAGTAGCTCCCTTGCGTGGCTAATTTGGTTTTAGTAACCTTGTTAGTCACATTGCTTAGTTTGTGTAGCTAAGTATTTGCGCTCTCTAATTAGCCATTGGTTGCCTTGTTATTGAGCTTTGCTAGTGAGCTTAGTTGGCTTTGTGCTTTTGCTTACTAGCATGTGTAGAAGCTCCCTTGTTGTTTAAAGTACTAGTGGCATAGGTTTGTGTGACCTTGCTCTTAGAATTGTTTAGGAGAGCTCTAGCTAGCCCGGCACCTTAGTTGCATAATTAGTATCTTGGCAAGGTGCTAGTGAGCATATATAGAGGGGTGTAGTCTTGGCTAGACCGATTGTTTAATTCCGCATTTATATCGGTTAGCCGACGCGATTAATTTTAGAAAAGACTATTCACCCCCCCCTCTAGTCCGCCATCTCAACCCTTTCAGATGGGCGTAATAGCTGAGTTTACCATCTCGAGTCGACCTGAGTATGATAACCAGGTAGAGCATGCTGAAAGCCTTCTCTCCACTCTGTCCATCATTGGGGTGAGGTCCTCCATACGCGGTTTGGTTGTACCCATGGGTAACCCGAGGTATGTAAATGGCATAATTCCAATATCACATCCAAAGGTATTAGCTAAGCGTGACAACTTTTCCTGGGAAACATTTATAGGATACATATGTGACTTTCTGTTGTTGACCCCTGGAGGCCTGTCTATTCTGCGAACACTACTGGAGGGTGCGGCTTTGCCGAGTGTTTTTACACTCGGCAAAGAGCCCTTTGCACTCGGCAAAGGCTTTGCCGAGTGTAGCACTCGGCAAAGTCCGCTCGGCAAAATTTTTCTCGGCAAAGGGTCTTTGCCGAGTGCTTTTTATCCGGGCACTCGGCAAAATAAAAAAAATTGCCGAGTGCTTGGGGCGACACTCGGCAAAATATTTTTTCGTTGCGCCAAAATTGAATTTATTAAGTTATTTTGCCGAAAAGTGCCCGACCTAGCACTCAAAAAAAAAAATTTAAAAAATTACTTTGCCGAGTGCCCCAGCCGCACTCTAAGCAAAGTTTTTTTTTTTTTTTAAAAAATTTACTTTACCGAGTGTGCTTCAGACCTAGGCACTCGGCAAAGTTTTTTTAAAAGTACTTTGCCGAAAGTGCCCCCCATCCCGAGGATAGATTAGTGAGCAAAGAAAGTTTTTTTATTTTTTTAAAAAGTACTTTGCCGAGTGCCCCCAGAAAGTGCCCGTTCGGCACTCGGCAAAGTTTTTTTTTCTTCCTCCAAAAAGTACTTTGCCGAGTGCCCCTGTCCATGCACTCGGCAAAGTTTTTTTTATTTTTTTT